TTTAAACCAAATAGAATGGATTATAGATTCAAATCGTGGATCTCAAAAGGAATAACAACATACTATTCTCTTAAGGAAAATGGAGGTTGGAAAGACTTTGACAGCTTGAAGGGAAAATATTATCTTGAGAAACATGATTTTTATAGATATCTCCAACTACGCAATCACTTTGAAAACAACATCAAAAGTAAAACAGACTTTGATGACCCACTTGTAAAGATATTTATAGATGCTTATCAAGGCGGCTCAAATAAAGGTGTCATTTCCAAATTCTATAAAGGTCTTAGGATAAAAAAAAAATCACTCTACAGGATATATTAAAGAAAAATGGGAAAAAGAGGGTAACTTTTCTATACCAAATGAGGAATGGCTTGATGTATATAAATTCCTATGGAAATGTACTAACTCTCACATATGGCTGGAATTTGGGTGGAAATGTCTTATCAGATTCTTTATTACACCAAAACAGAAGGCACGTATTGAGGGAGGGGACACCAAATGCTGGAGACATTGCGGGTTTCGGGAAGCCAATCATTGGCATATATTTTGGGAGTGCCCAGTGATAAAACCTTTCTGGGCAGACCTTCATAAAGCAGTGAAAAGCATTCTTAAAACTTTAATGCCCTTGCACTTTTCCACATTACTTTTTAGGAAGTGCTGATCTTCAAATAAGACCCTCCGAGAGATATCCTTTTGGAATTTTAACAACTGCTGGTAAAAAAGCGCTTTCAAGACGATGGTTGCTTCCTGAACCTCCCACAATGAAAGAGTGGATGGATAAAGTAAATGATATTTATTTTATGGAAAAGATTACTTTTTCCCTCCGTCTGCAAAAGAATGTGTTAAGAAAAATCTGGTCCAGGTGGGTTAAATATATAAAACCATTATGGCCAGACTTTGTGGAAGTATAAAAATTGATCTTACTTTTCTGAATGGAAAATATTGTAATTTCTATGGTATGCCTTTCCCTTGTTGGAAGCCAATGGTTTTTTTTTTTTTTTACCCATAGTTCATAACCTAGACCAAGAATGAACACTTGACATTATTCAGTACAGTGTATGATTACTAAGTTTATGTTTAACCTCCCCTGAATTGTACAAATGATTATTGTTATTAATAACATTATTTGAATTTTATTTTATTTTGTTCATTTAGTTCTGTATTATGAAATTGATTGGCAGAGAACGATGTAATTACATTTGTTTGGAAATAATGTACTGTTGTTTAAGCTGCTACATCAAAATAAAAAATTTCAAAAAAAATAATAAATAGTCATTTGGAGTTTGCCAAGTTTCAATGAGAAGTAGCATGTCCAGATTCTTCGCAATAGACAGTTCATTTAGCAAGGTTGCTTTATCCGTCAAGGACCGACAGTTAGAGAGAGCACATCGAAGATTTAAATCGGCAACTTTGCCTTGGTTATTCCGCTCCGTAGTGATCGGCAGATAACTCAACATGCTCCTTGATCTAATCTGGCGTCTTGAAGTGCCATTTGACGACTGTGGTCTCAGTCCAAATTGTCAGAATAGCATTGGAGGAGGTACAGTTTATATGAAAACAACGACGTGGGGAGCGGGGAATATATCGCGGGCGACAAGCGATGCCAAGCTCCTTACACCAGGTATATATTGTTTCTCTGAGCCGGGAGTGACTGCGCCAGGCACGAAGTTGCAGTGAGGAGTAGGTGTTCATACTCTGGGGACAGCACCACTGACCAAATACAGTGGTGCCTGCGGTTCATGAACGCTGTGGCTTTCAAACAATTTGGTTCACGACCAAAAATTTTGTGAAAAAAATGCATTGGTTCGCGTACAAAATTTTGTTGATGAACAGATTCCTCGACCAGATTCCTTTTTTTATACTGTGTAGCACTGGCGGGGTGCATGTCCTAGCATGCCCTGTGTGCAGCTGTAAATAAAAGGACCACAACAGGCACCCAACGCGCACCGAACCCAAATAAACAGATGGGAAAAACAAAGCTGTCAGACGCCGAACTGCAAGATTCACACACGCAAGAATATTTACATACACTAAATGCACGCCAGGATCGGATTGGCAAAGACGCGGGCAAACACATGCGCGACAATAGGGAAATGCAATCATTAATAACAACAACAATACAAGGGTTAAGGACTGTTAATAATGAGCATGATTTCCCTGGCGTTTTTCCACCGCACCAGGTACCGTACTTTCGGTACTTCCATGAAGTGCCGAAAGTTTGGTACTTCTTTCATGTCGGTTTTCCACTGGCGTAAAAAATGACATCATCAGTGACCGCCCCTGACTGACAGCCCAAAATTAAAACTAACAGCTGAGGCTGGAAAATGCGATTTATTGTTATGTCAGCTTCTATCACAATATAACATTTAGTAAAATCCAAATCATGCTGCCATCAATTACGTTTACGTAGGTACACTTACTTTGGCTAAGCCGATCAAAGCAGTAAGATTTAGCTTACTGCTAATTCAGTCTTTTGAAAGCAAACGAATTATTTAATTATGTTTTTTGATTTTCAAGCGGAATTGTTCGGTGTTTCGCGTGTGCCCCATTTCTTCCAAGCGGCTTGGTATTACGGTGTTCCCGGCAATTCAGTTTCCCTATGTTTCCCCTAATATTAAAGCAAAGAGGTATGTGAAATGTCTGAAAATCACTCAGGTACATTATTACATATGAATACAGTAGATCGTCACGCATAATATAGTCTTATAAGCAATACTATACAGTTTTCATCAAGAAATACCTCTATCCAGCGAATTAAGTAATGTCATTTATTATCTGTAATGACAAAAAACATAGAAAAGGCATGTGATGTTTTAAAATTAATATACGGCTTGTTTACCTCAAGAACTTCGTAAAAAGACATGAAAACAACAGCGAAACCGTGTACAAATCAGCGCGCGACAGGGGAAACAGGGAAACTGAATTGCTCGGAACGGCAAAAACTTTTTTATTTCGAGTCGTGCCATCCAAATCCCACTGGATCTGTTCATCCGACCATATGGCGATTAAAGCCTGTGTTTCCTCGTTTGTCCATCCTTCCATTTTACTTTTTTATATTTTTGTTTCTACTGCTTTTTATTTTGTTTCTCGCGGTGATCGCTCTGTTCGCTGTGTGTTTCAAAAGATGGCGGTTGTTTCAGCGGCAGGCTATTTGCATAACCAATCGACAGCAAATACGTTTGTAAGTCCCACCCCAAAGTACCGAAGTACCAAAGAAGTACCCCAACTGGTTTGGCACTTTTGGTACTCGAGATTTCGGTAGTGGTACTCGACCGTAAGTCAATGGAAAAGCGAAAGTACCGTACCAAAAGTACCGTACTTTGTGCGGTGGAAAAGCGCCCACTGTCTCTCTCTTCTCCCGCAACCCATTGGTCCGCCCATCGCCACACTATATTGTGTTTTTCTTTAATGTTTTTACTATAAAAACCAGAAAATTTATTAACAGAAATTATTATTTGGTAGGCTTGTGAATGAATTAATCGAATTTCAATGCTTTCTTATGGGGAAAATTGCCTTGGTTCGAGTAAAAATTGGTTTATGACTATTTTCCTGGAACGAAAAAAAAAATCTTTAATTTGGCTACTAGAAACCTCATTTGCACATCTTGTTTTAATCGTTTTTTGAGGCATTTGTAGTTCAGTTTGAACATCTTCCAAGAGAGTATATGCAAATGGTGAATGCTTATAATACCCCACAATTTTTCTCCCACTGGTAACAGTATATCTTACACTTTGTTGCAATAACAGCTCCTTTGAGTATCAAGAACTACAGCAAGTGCGGAAAACTGCCCTAGTTAGGGACTCCCAAACCATGCATTGCTTTTTTTTCATATTACTGGAGTTGTCACACTTGTGTGAGCTTTGTTTAGTGGGATTTTCCACTAAACACTGCTTCCACCTCTCAAAATGGCTCATGGTGCTACTAGTTGTTGTTAAAGCGTAAAATACTTCCGGATAGTCACCCTTTTATCTGATGTTCTTATGTTCCTTGTATTGCAAAGGGTATGCATGTGACATCACCCAAGGTGGAAGTCATTGCGGTCACACCTGCTGAGTGGCAAATAGACTGAGTGGCAGCATCAGCGTTTAACTTGAATGCTACAAAAACACATCTAAATGGGAAAGAGCTGATGTGTGAGTGATTGTACAAATCAATGACTAGATTTAATAATTTAAATTTAATAAATTAACAGGAGCTATCTTTTTACAGACTGCTCAGAACTAAATAAGTATCGGACATGGATCGGTCACATACCAATACCCAATCCGTCTAATATGTATACCTAAATGTTGTGCATCCCTAGTTATTAATACATCATGTAAATATGCTTATATAATTATGTCATGTTTCTTATTAATGTATATTACTGTACATCTGTTAAGGTATGTTAGGATATTAAGGTATACTTAAATGCATTATGAATGTTCTATGAATGCATTATAAAGGCATTATGAAGGTGTGGTTAATGTAAAGCGTAACACAAGTGTAATTCTTTTACACAGCTAAGGACTTTGTGGCATCCATCCATCTTCCAACCCCTTACCCAGTACATTAATACTTCTTTATGCATGTGGAGGCTGCTTGCTAGGCCGACATGGTCACACTCCAGGTATTTAAAAAGTTAGTGTAAAATTATAAACTTCAACCTCATCAGAAAATCAGAGCAGTTATAAGTAGTATCTTGCAATCATAAATGTGATGCATCACCATGTTAATATATTGCCACTATATTTCGCATATATAATAAATAAAGGAAAACCCTCTGTAATACTATTCTCACATGTGATCCTTATTACTGAAGCCAGTAAGAGAAGGTAGTTTCAGTTTGTTTTTTTGTTCACCCAATACCACACTGATTTAAACATTCAAGTAGAATTTCAGGATTTTAGGAAAATTTGCTATGAAGGGCAAACCTCATGGCAAATTCTGATAGACATTTTGATCAAAAATTGTTTTACCGAAAACATGCCATTGAAAAACGTAGCCTAATTTTTTTTTTCCCCAATCAAATCATTTTTCCACGGACATATTTGCCCATGTACAGACAGGTTACCAATCTGTGTTTGCTACACTTACTCACCACCAAAAGTTCCATAAGTGCATGATCACGCAGGCTTTTGGGTCCAGACTACAGAGGAGAAAGAGGAAGAAACCCATAAGGATGTATGAGAGAGAACAGGGCTAAGGATATTAAAGTTGCTCAGTTAATAACTTAGGGGTCTATTCTGCCATGCACTTAAGTCAAAACAGCACATGTTTTTTCACTTAAACGTATTCTTCCATTGACTTAAGTCTGGGGTTTAAGTGCACTCAGACTCAATATGCATTTATTCAACTGACTGTCTATTGTGGGCTACTTGCAACAAAGTTGAAAGACTTAAAAATATTTAATCTCATTTGCATTATTTGATTTTAAAACAGTACTGTTTTAGGGAAAACTGTTGCAGAATCATTAAATCAGAACTATATATGTCAATTGCTCTGCACAAAATTCAAACAGTGACATTTTGTTTTTGCCAAAGGATTTTCATGTTCACCAGAATGACCAAATATAAGCATTGTAGGCTACCGCCATGCTTTAATTTTAAAAGTAATTTCAAAATACAAAATAAAAGTTTGATTTCAATTAGATTCACAATGTAAATGAAATAGTCCATGTTCCACATTTTGCTAGTTGCCTTCCTTTTCAGGTTAAGTGCAGTGGGGTGTCCATGCTGATGAGAAAATATGTGTAACTCAGAAGTGTGTAACTTTTTAAGCGCATTTTTATTAAGTGCTTAAAGTGCTTGATGGGAGAATCGACCCCACAGTGCATATCATTACTGAGTGCAAGTCTGTTTTAATTGTCTGGTAAAGCCTTTGCCAGATTGACAATCTCAGCATTTAAGCAAGTTACATTAGACTCCACAGACAGCAATGCCACTACCAGAAGTGTTATTGTGCTGAACAACAATTAAATGTTAAGCTACCTGGTAATACACTGTGACTTCCGAGTTAGCATCTCCTTTGTTAAGAGACTTCACTTTGCACAGATGGGGATTCAGAGGTAACTCTACCACTTGAAAGAGAACTGGGACCTCTGCTGACAGGGGTGCGAACTGCAGCTTGCTGAGACAGAAGTAAAGGCAGATGAGAAAGCCTGAGAGAAAGACATGGTGCTGATTTTGGCCAATTCCATCAACAGAACAAATTATCAATGTGTTTACATAAATATGTGATGTATGGGGAGTTTATTCTTGCTGATTTTGCCCCAATCAGCTTTCACTCAGCTTCCATGCAGGCAGAGTTGTAGTAGTATAAAGTCAGGTGGAAGTAAAGCAAGGTGCACCTTGCCAGGCACCTCCAACCCAATTCTGTCACCTAAATAGGTGTCTAATATTTTGCCACTGTATTAAACAGAATATAATACCACAGAACAGTGATACTTCATCCCTATGGAGAAACTGGGTAGTTTTCCACATATCCTTTGCCACATTAATTTAATGCACATGTATGTGGAAATCTGTCAAGCTCCTATAATAAGAACATCTGCTAAATAAGTCTAAATATTGCAGAAACACAATGTTGAATAACACGATCAATAGGAAGAGATGTCCAAACTTACTCTATAATATACTGGAGAAACTCCTTGGATTCCTATGAGAATAAAAGAGTTTAAAGGTGAACTAGTCTGAAGAAGCACAGCAGTGCACTGAATCACTGAAAAAGTATGAAGGTACTTGTGTGCAGAATAAACTCACACTGCTGGTGAAATTGCCTTGCACCAGTCCCTCTGCATAGAGCTCAGACTTAAAACAGCACACAAAGTCCATGAGGTCTGCCATGCTGAGCCCCTTCATGATGGCCTGGTACTTCTGAATTATAGACCAGCGTGAGTGCTCGAGAATGAGGAGCCGCAGATCCCTGATGGAACAGGGAAAAGGGAGAGAAGGGCCATGGAGAGGGCTGTCACATTAAAATAACATAAAAGTTATAATCCACTACAAAATTACTTCCTCAAAACACTAGTCTAAAGTATGTTCAATGCCTTACTGCTGTCCATAAATGTATATAGAAATTCTACTGTTTCAATTGCCCATGCATCCAACAAAATAAATTCCAACAGAAGCAAGCAGTTTTTGTAACTCACTTTCCCAGCTTTTCAGGCTTAATGAGAATGTTGAAATAGGTCTTCTTCAGTTGCTCATAGAACATGGCGAACACATCTGGTGCTGCGGTGAAGTCAGCTAGGTAGTCAACGATCAGGTTCAGCAGGAGCTAGGTTCAACAATAAGGAGCAGCAGTTAACTGAGCGTGCCAGAAGAGCAGCTACGTTTCATTTTCCCTCATTTTGGGGTAGTCTGTGGCTCTGTGGGTTAGGTGATTGGAAGGTCACCGGTTGAAACTCTATGGTCGTTAGAGTGATGTCACTGTTGGGTCCTTCAGCAAGGCCCTTAACCTCAGTTACTCCAGGGACTGTTGGTCTCAAATTATACATCTGAATAAAATCATGTTACTGTAACATCCAGCCATTTCAGGTCACTCACTGGAAGTTTATGGTTGAAACCTTTGACCTTGATGACCAGACTGTGCTCCCCAGACACCAACTTGTATTCCAGCTGGGCCACGTCAGCTTCATATGCCGGCTCTGCCAGGTTGTGGGCCAGGATGTTCACAAAGAGGTCAAAGAGGACCAGGCTGGAAGAAAGTAGCAGTGAACTGGGTGAGAAGCTCAGTGTCACCTGTTTGCTACAGGAGGTTATTTGATTGTTGTATTGATTTCAACTGTTCATAATTAAGTTAGATCTACTTACTTTGCAGGAGATTTTTGAACCAAGGGAGAAATTAAACTGAATCGTGCATAGGCTGGAAAAAGAAAGCAAATTAAACTACTTGATATGAGGCATCCTGCTTGGAGATCAGACTCAAGGCATGATTTCTGATAACTTTTAGAAGCATGCATAAATACCTTTGGGTATCTTAAACTTTGTGTCCTTCTTGAACCATAAGGATCCTTTGCCATTGTTGACAATCTGGACGGGAAATTCAGTGTCAGGAGAGTCTGATGTTTTTAGGGTAAAATCAGTAGCTGTAGTGGTTAGAGAGAATATTTGTGTTAGAAATTTGTTGATTCTTTAACCTCCTTGACATTAACCCTGAGTATGATTCTGGATCAATTTTATGTAAAAACCGTCACTTTAAAACTTCAATAGTGGACACTTTGCTGACTTATCCCTTTTCGATATACTTGTTCAGCTATTTATTTTCTTATATTTTATAGCCTACCTGTCAAGGTGACATTTGTCTACTTTTATTACATTTGACTATTTTATGTATTGTCTTTTATAGCTTTGTCTGGTCTTGGGAAACAGCATTTCATTTGTGTATACAAATGAAGAGCTCTTTTCCAAAATGCAATAAACGCCAAATAAAAAAAAAATGAGTTTGTCATGTCATTTTGCTGTGCACTGAACCTATTCACTGCTCCATCAACATTTCATGCCAAATCACTATATTTCCTTGTTTAAGATGTACTGCAAAATGCTGTTTCTATCCAAACCGCAATAAGCGCCATACCTATTTTTTGTCAAAACGTGATATGTACTCTCAACCAATCAGAATTCGGTGAGCGTGCAACTTAATCGAACTTGGCGACGCTCTGAGGCGATAGAGTTTTGTTGCGATCTTGTTTAGTGTTTAGTGTCCTCTTCAAAATGAGTGCTTTAAACCCTTTTGATGACATTGATGAGCCAGTGAGGTAGAAAACGCCGACTGGACAAAGAAAACCACAAAAAAACAACAAAAAAAAGAAGGTTTGTCACTCAGGTGGTGCGTTAATACCTACTGTGGGATGTCAACACAAGGCTGCTGAGACCCTGATGTCATATGTTGCATGTTCACACATAACACACATAAACAATCAACTTTTAGGAAGTAAATGGATGGATTTATAGCGTTTTGGAAAAGAATGGATGGATTTAGAGTGTTTTGGAAAAAAAAAATTATAAACTTTGAATTTATAATCAACAATACTGTTGTTTGATTTAACAATCATTGTTCAACATGTTCAGACCGAGCCAACAAACCATTTTAACAGGATAAATTAAATATTAACAAAATGTGTGGATCTAGGTAAAAAATTATATTTTCCTGAAAACGATCATAATGGATTTATGCCGTTTTGGAAAAGAGCTCTTCAAATACATTAAAAATGACAATCCAATCCAAACGAGTTTAGACCCCATACGATAAGCATAAATAATGCTTGGGGCAGGATTTTGTTGCCATCTAATGGATGAAATAAATTCTTAAAAAGTATGCAGAGGCTTCTACCCAACCGCATGCACCATGTGTGGCAAGTGACTTTTGCAAAACATGTGATGTAAAGAACATGCACTAAATCATACAGTGGACAGTAGAAACACCTTTCCAACTGTATGTTCAAATTTTGGTGAAAATGCAATGTATTTCCGGGGAAGGGAGCACAAGCAACATAACGCTAAATAAATAGATATAATATATACATACAACATAAGGCAAATGAAAAGAGACATCTAACAGAGACAAGCTTACCTATGAATTTGTTTTCAGCTGGAAGGTGAAGGTCTGGATTTAGACTGAAATCTCCTGCCCATTGGTCCCGCCATTCCTGGCTGATATCTAAATATTTAAAATGCAGGAAATCAATGAGACAAACAAAACTTCTTACTAAACTACTGAACAAGATGAAAAGCTAGGAAAGATATAATTCATAAGAATGGTTTCCTAATTATCTTATTGACTATTTTACATTAACCACGTATCTTGCCTCTTACCTTCAACACTGTACTGAGTGCCAAACCACTTCTCCTTGAGGTAACAGTGACCCTCATGTTCCGGGGACAGCAGCAGCAGATTGGCCTTGTCTGGGGTCAGAAGGTTCAGAGCTGCTGAGATCACCTATTAGAAAAAGTTTAATACACTTTTCATTTCAACCAAAGAACCATGTATAAGCATGCAGGAGAAAATCAGAACCTCCAGTGTAAATTGGCATGGCATGAGGAAAACATGCAAACTCCACAAACCGCAGGAAGGCAGGATTCACAATCCCGACCTTGAAGGTGTGATACTACCCACTGAGCAGTGAAACACTACTGGCTATTGCAGATGCATTACCTCTGGACTGTATTCAAATAACAGCTGATCTCCAGTGAGAAAGTCCTCTTTGGGAAATAGCTGCATATTCTCACAGATATCCTCCACATATTCAATTGGGTCAGTCTGTAAGATTATATTGTAGATTTAAAACTGGACACAGCGGCAACAAGAATTTGAAAATGTGCATATCAGAATAATTGGTAACGCTTTACATTTTCTGCAACTTCATAATGTACTCGTTATACATTCATGGAACATTCAGTGCACCTTCATAATGCATTCATATAACATCCAAAAGCACCTTGTAAGCATACTTTAACATCCAAACATGCGTAAGAGCTTTATAATGGTGTTAATACATATTAGAGTTATACAATTGTAATGTTTGTTATTATCCTATAAATTTTATATGAATATATGAATCCATTTCAATTAGCACACAATAATCATCCAGACAAATGCCTACCTGCTCCTGGTATTGAAACTCATTAGCCTCTATCTTCTGAATTTCCTCATATATTCTAAAGAACCATTGAGGGACAGAAATCACACAAAATGTTTAAGAGAAATAAAATGGAAATGAGGTTAATTTGGTACTGTTATGGTAAAATCAATGACAGTGTAAATATGACCATCTTCCCACCTTTTTTGAGGGCCCATTTTCAGAAGCATTTTCAGATACTGGAACACAACATGCGCTACCTGGGGGGGTGGGGAAGCTTTACATTATACCAGGTAATAAGACAGGCCTAACCAGAGCAACTGCTGTCACTTATGAACAGATCAGTATAAATATTATTTAAAAAAAACCCCACTATGGATTAAAGGTTTATAAATGTGTTGGTATAGTAACCTGGTAGAAGTTCTGGAAGCCCTCGTCTGTCAGAGTGATGGAGATGCTAAAAATTGAATAGGTGGTATTCTGATCAAATCCTGTTTCACTGTTTCCACCAAAAAGAGCCAAAGCCAAACACCTAAAAAGAGCAAAAGCAAAAATCAGTCACACAACAGCAGTTACTTTGCATTAATTTTTTTTACTCTTGTTCAAAGACAGTGTTTATAAAAACAAACTTAGAAGCACAATAATTTAATGTAAGCAGGGCTGGAAATTAAGCTTGTGCACTAGCCTCAGATGAGAAATTTAGATGAAGGCAACAAAATTAACACTAGCCCGCTGGCTAGTAAACAAATTGTATGTTGGTCTACATTTTTTATAAAACTTCCACCCCTGCATAGGTGAAATCAGAAGGTATAACTGGGCTGGGAGAACAGGTCAACACTGCATACTAAAAAGATACATAAATTAAAGAACAAGAAAATGATTAACAGAAAGCAAACCAGACAAAGGAAGTTCCTGTTGCAAGGGGGCTATGCGATAAATAAACCATGCCATGTGACCCACTTCTTCCTCAGCAACGAAAGGATGCTGCCAGTGCCTTCATGACCGATTAGCCAAGAAATGTAATGAAGGGGTTTTATCCTGAAAGAAACGCATATCCACACACACAGACACATACATTTATTCACTGACAAATTATGTGAAGTTCAACATTTCAAACTTATCAGGCTGATATCTACACCTTTAATATTTTTACATTTTCAGACACAGACTACCAATACCTTTCTATAAGATAATCAAAAACAAAAAACAACACACTATATGCTCAACAGGTATTTTAAGTTCCTAATATTAAGCTGCTAGCATCATTGGTCAGAGGCTTTCAGGTGAAAACACCTTCTTACCTAGTGGACTCACCTGTAGTACTTTTCCTGGGGAGGCAACGCCCAGGTGATGGTAAGAGCATGCACCTTCCTCACAGGAACCACTGCAACACACAAAACCTACCACTCAGACACAAGTCTCCAGCAGAACCGGAGGAACTCCATCATAACAAGTCATCGTAACTACATTTATTTATCCAACAACAAATAACTGAGGAAGTAGGGTCAATCAGGCCCTGATGAAACTGGGGGCCTAATGGGGAAATCACAGTGAAATGTCATGTGATATTTGGCCATTTCTGATGAGCATGGCAGCCCCAGTCGTAGTATTGTTGCCTTACATCGGCAAAATTGGGTCTGAATCCCACCCAATAGCTACTGAGAAAGACTGCAAAGATTTGATCACAGTTCAAGTCAATTGTCTAAATAGGCTGTAGAAACGTAAACATTATTTTGTACAATAAATCAATCAAATTATTATTTGAAAAAATAACCACAATAATCATAAGAAACGCCTACAGGTTTACCTCTGTAAAGTTTGTTGTATGCTGGGGTATCAAAAGGGTCCAGGAGGTGAGAGAAGTCAGGTCTGGGCAGACCACTAAAAAGCAGATCAAACGGCTCAATATATACCAGTATATTTTTGCATTTTAAAGTCTCTGTATCGACAATAGGTTTAACATACTTGTTGGGGATCTTGCTGAATATGTCTCTCGCCCACTCCTCCAGAGTGTCCAGAGTTTCTGCACAAGGATGGGTGTTTCACATTGACTCACTGTTCTGTACCCAATTTCAAACATTCATCTTCTCTCATCTACAGGAATAACAAAGCTTTGACAAATGTATATGACACAATAGTGATGATACTTCTGAGTGACTGCCAAACCTTTAGACTGAAGAGCCAAAGTCATGTAGTGGGCAGAGTAGTGCCTCTTCCAGAACTCACGCAGACATTGATAGATGTCGATATTTTTCTCCCTTGGCTCATGCATCAAGGTCTGGGCATTCCCTAACAAATTCAATAACCATAAACACATTCACCCTCTTATCTTAAACACAAGAAATACTAACCATAAATTGGTCAATATAAATGTGAAGAAACAAATCAGCACACAGGCATTATATAGATCAATCACTAAAATAAACTCATCAGTGAGACTTCAAAGTTTGAAAAACTTACCACACAAATTATATCCAATCAATAAACTGAAACAATTTGAGTCTTCATTTACTGAGAATATCTAAATATTTATTAAATTGTAAGTCTGCACAAAAAATCACAAATGAAACAAATTATGTAATTTGATCAAGGCACTGATAAAGGGAGCAACTCAAATCTCACCCCAGCAAAACTTTCCCATGGGGTGTTTGGGCTTGGCCAAGCTACCGAAAAGCATTTCCTTACGGTGGGAATCAGATGGTTTTGCCAGCTGATACTCTGTAAACAAACAAAAAAAAAACAAAATGTCAACATAGTTGTAAGTGAGAGAAATGCACAGATCTCTAAAATGTTCTGGGTTCCACCCTCACCACTGTCAACAGCTTCCACTTCCCTGTCAATAGCATCTTTGATCATCAAAGGGCAGATGAAGAACTGGGCCCACCTGTCAGGAATAAACAGAAAGTGGTCATGGGGATGCCGTTCAGTACCTGATTTATGCCGGCGCTCTGAGCAGTCTAACACAAGTCTGCGCTCTAGCAAATCTCAGTTGTGCCCCAACACCTCAAATGCTAAACCCAATAAATAATTCAACTTAAAATTAATTCAACTTAAATTTTGGAATTTATGCAAATTGAACTAAAGAAATGTAATTTTTACATACATCTGTCTAAATAAGTATGTTATGCTTATTTGACTTTTGATTTGCAAGGGAACAACCGCACCATGTGGGCACAGAAAGCACAGGAAGATCATCCAGGATGAATAATCAGTAGAGGAGTAATGTTGGAGAACTGGAGTACTGTCACTGGTGGCCAGTGTAACAAAAAGTCAGACAGAACAAAATAGTCCTGTAACAGTATAGAGATTTGAGTCAGCAGATGAAGGACAGAATGTAGAACGCTCTGGTGGAGTGCCTGAGCCCGACTGAATATCTGACTTGGATTAGATGGTCTGAGTACTACGTAGAAATAGGCACCATCCAACCTAATGTTTTAAATCTAGATCTTACAAGTTAAGGTTTGTTTGTATTGGCTGCGTGAACATAGGCTGTTTTGCATATTCAGAACATCATTGCTCTGTTGGGGGACCGCTCCATATAACAGCAGTACAATCATACTTTGTCTTTTTGTAGGCTGTTCATTTAGACATGAGAAGGCATGAAAGTACTGAATGACATTTATGAAACCTGCTGAACTATTTATTACAACATTCAAAATCCTCCATTGTGCACTGCCTGGCTTATAAATGAAGCCTGCTCATTTTCTAAGAGTCAAGACAGTAAAATGAAAGGCAATTAGAAATATTGATTCAGTTCAAGGGAACAGTGACAATTCTTTCAAGGTTTTATGAGAAATAAGGACATTTCAGCTGAATTTGCTAAGGTGGGTCTTAGACATATATGGACAGTGGCTGTCGCGCCCCCAATTGACTGATCGGCACCAAACTTGGAGGGTCTGTCTGGACTCTACTAAAGTGTAAAATTTGGTGAGGATAGGCTGAAGCATGCCTGATATATACCTGCCTGATTGAAATGGGGATGGAACTGGTGTAGGTTGGGTGTGGCTGGTGGTTATACTATACATCTAGGTCAATGGTTTTTTATGAGTCATCCATAATGGAAATGTCCTGATTCACCTGCTACCAGAATAACCTAGGAGTGGTGGAGATTGTAGGAGTCATAGAAATATGTCTTGTATTGAGTTCTGAAACATCACAAGGAAATGCAAATGTCTATCATTGGACAGTACATATGATTTGATTTGGCATGACTCACAGAACTAAAAATACAAAGGATTTTGACCAGTAATATGTTACTCAGCCCGAAATAAGAAAAACGTCAGTTGCACTGGATTTGCAGGTGTAGAGACATGTTACATTGCTGTAGTGACCCCTATTGACTGATCAGCATCAAATTTGGACAGCCCTTCCCCAGTATTGTTCTACAGGACATATTCAAGTTTGGTGATGATTGGCAGAAGCATGAACATATTCATAGCTGTCTGATTGATATTGGAATGGCACAGGTATGGTCTGGGTGCGGCTGGTGGCCATACCTTACAGAAAGTTTAAGATTTTTTTTATAACTATTTATAAGGACTGTCTGCTGATCTGAATGATATCAGATTAATACAAACTGCTTAAAATCCAAGGACAAGTTCAAAAAATCCTGTTTTCAGACTTATGCGAAATAGGCAAAAATGGAAAGGTAGAGAACCAAGTTCTATATGTTGTTTGGTTTGGCATAACATATTGAATTGGCAATAAATTTCAACTCTATGCTTCACAGTTCTTTAGAAATAGGCAGAAATACAAAAGTTGTCGCTGTAGCACCCCCATCTGGCAGACTGGGGTGCCCTTACCAGGGTGGGCTCAAAGTCTGTAGACAAATGGACCACCCAGATTTAGTTCAGATTGGTGATTGCTAAGCCTGTCAAATGGATGCTTGATTTTGATTGGCTGATTATGGCCAGCATTTTATGACATATGACTGCCATAGTATGGGCCTGACTGCAGGCTTGGTAATAGTACACATCTGCCAATTTTCACTTGGATTGGCCACGGACTTCAGGAGATATTGGCAGTAGGCAGTTGTAACGCCCCATATTGATGAAATGCAGCCTGCCTTGAATAGTGTCCCCCAGAATGCCCAGAATTTGGGCATGGCTAGTGGCCATATGATCGAGAAATGTCAGACTTTTTTTTTTTTAATGTGTCTTGATCAGCTCAGGGGTCTGATTGGTCTGACACCTCAATTTGTCTGATTTGGTCAGATGAGGTAGGACTAGTAGGCAAAAGTAGGTTTTGCAAATTGTGCAAATTAGCAAAAAAGCTAAGTAGACGGAGCTTAATAGTTCAAATGGCAAGTAGGTAGGGCATGGTAGTCTCTCAGCAGAAAAAAGAATTTTGACTCTAGGACTAACAGGTTCAGGAGATATCAGCCGAAATGTATATAGCGCCCCCCTCTGACTGACTGACTTGGGTTGGATGGTCTGAGTGGTGGGTAGGAATCAGAGCATGTGAGCGGAGTGGAGTGGAGCGTTAGCGAGGAGCGGAGCGGGCGGAATCTGGTCAGAGCGCGGAACGGTTTTCTAATTAAGGCTGGAGCGGTCGCTCTCTCTCGCTCCAATTTCGCTCCGATACCACTCACACTACGATTCTGCGGCGTGCCCAAGTCTACCCAGAATTCATCTGTACAATTATCGAGACTGTTACACAGACTGCCCGAGATGGAATTCGCAAAGGAAACTGATAAATCATACAAGTGTGCTATTCTTATCAAACGTATAGATGACAATAATGTAGGGCAAGAACAACAATGTGGTGAAACTGTTTCAGTGAGTAAAGATTCACTTTGGAATCACTTTTCTCAGAAACATGAGTGTGCTATGAGAACAGGCGGAAGCCAGAGCAAAACGTGAGCAAGTTTTATATGGTTGTAGCATATCAAGTCTATAAAGTAAATTAAAGTATAAAAGCCTATAAAGTAAATATTGGTAATCAAATAAATTCGTTTTGTCATTCAAAGTAGGTCTAATAGGATTTTTTTAATTTCACGTAACGCTGTCAGTGAAATTTTATTTTATAGAGACGCAGCAGCAGCATCAACAGAAAAAAAATGAGGAATTTAAAACGTGGATGCTTAGCCTGTATATTCTTTAGGCTATTAAGTCCACTGATTCCTTTCTTTTTAAGCCTATCTTTGTGTGGAACGCCATTGCCAAACCTGTCCTTTGTTGCCTATATGTTGCTTAAAAATAAATATTTACTGAGTGGCAATGTTGCCGTTGCTCATATTTCTTTATGATATAAGGCTTCGGTTTAAGGTGACATTGGTTAGGAATGCAGATTATTTGTCCCTCTTTTAAATTGGAGCGAGCGTGGAGCGATTTGACTGGAGCGGAAGGAAATTTTAGTGGCGCGAGGAGCGGTGTTGAGTGGAGCAGCTTAGTGCGAATTAGAGCGGAGGATCGGGCGAAGCCAACAGCCTCGTGAGCAAGGAGCGGAAATACTCACCACTCCACTTCGCTCACATGCTCTGGTAGGAATTCACATTGTCCTTCCAAATTTGGTATTTATACGTCTTACGGATTAGGCTGCCCATTTCGTTTTAGGGAAGAAAAATAATAAAAACATCGCTATGTGTTTTGGATCTTTAATTAAAAATGTCGAAAAGACAGTAATAATTTGAATAATTTGCCGCAAGGCAACAAAGCCACTAGAAGCCAAGTAGAACAGAAATGAACCAGAAAACCTGAGGGAAGAACAAGTAGAGACAGCAAGGAGAGGAGCAGCATTTGTGGAAGCTAATGCTAATGAGAAGGACTGCACAAAAAAGCAAGAAAAGTGCAACGCAGATGAAAACTGTTAAAAAACTGTAACTAACAGGTGTCAATAGAAAATACTGCATCGCTAATGAAGTAGTAACAAGAGCCAATTAAAGACCACAAGACCATCAAATACTTTTCCCTAGTAGAGAATAAGTTCATTTTGATTGTTAGGATGCAGTCTTATTTCTGAATATTTATTTATTTTTACAATGTGCAAATGAGTGTCTCTGAGACTGTTTCAAATTGTGTTTGCAGTTTTAATAATAATTTTAAAATTGTGGGCCATTATACCACTATTATGGGTGGGGCTGGAGGGGTTTTAGCAAGTGCAATATTGAATATTGAACATGAAGAAGTACTGCTTCTGAGTTTAATTGTCTAGGAACTTGGAACACAATGCCAACTGACACCAACCTGTTAGGAAAGCAACACAGCATTTCTAAGCAAATACCCAAGACCAACTCCTGCTCCACCTAAACCGCTAACCTGCTCCCCAACTACCGAGTGAACTGTGGGTTTGGACCCTAGGCATACAGGTACAATCACGGAAAGAAAGCTGGGTGGGGTGAGACAGCGACTAAGTCATAGAGCAAGCAGGCCACCTCTACCTTTCATGATTCTCTGCAATGCCCATTTCCTGATGAGCAGAGTTTATGAACTACAAGTCAACACCAGGGTCTGGGTACTTGTATCACTATTCATGCCTGCTCGTATTCACTAAAACTTGGCTATAGGGGGATGTCCCTGACTAGACTGTACTCTCTGGTACCCTATTACAGGAATGACAACTTAGGCAAGAGTATGGGAGAAGGCAATTGTGTCTTGGTCAACCAAAAGTGGTTACACCAAGGGAGTGCAATGACGTAGTATAGCTAACTGGCAGACCTCATTATCTCCCCCATGAATTTGGGAATACTTTCTTATGTCTATACCCCACTGAGTGGAAACACTGCAGAAGCAGCCACCATAATTTTTGACTGTGTGCACAAACAATTGCTACACACTCCAGAAGCGCCTTGTTTTATTGCTGATGATTTTAAACACCGTAAGCTTGAAGCCATACTACCTGGATTTAAGCAATAATTGGACTGTAAAACTCGAAATAATTCTCGATAAACGTTACAGGTACTTTAAAATGTTCACACAGCCAGAGGTAAACCCCCACTAGCCACCTCTGACCATAATGTTGCTCACTTAAATTTACACATACATGTCCTTGCTTAAAAGCAAAAACTGGGATAAAGATGGCATTGAAAGGTCACTTATGATGTATCACCTGGGATCTCTTTTATAGCCTGGAGAAAACAGAGACCAATAGAGATTATATTAAAATTCTGCAGGAACAATGTCCTAGTTCAGAACAAATACCCAAACAATAAACACTATATTTCCAAAGAAATTAAAAAGTGGGGGCCCTGTATAAATGAGGAATATTCAGAGAGCACTATCAAAATTTAAAAATAGAAAGACAAATTTGAAATGCATTGCTCTACAATGAACACAAACAAATTACGAAGTTCTAAGAAATCTATGACAAACATGGTCCCAGCTAAACAGTTTCTAACATTCTGTTTCCACCAACACAGTGCTGGAGCCAGTGCCGGGTTTTTTCCAAATGTGGAACTAGTGCTGGGCGGTGTACCGGTTCATACCGAACACAGTTTATTGTTATGATATGAATTTTTCTTATACTGCAATACCTTGTTTAAATAGCCTACACAATGTTCAGAAAGTACCGCAGCTGGAAACTGTTTAAGGGGTGACCTTTTTCCACTGTGACACCGCTAAAAATGTATCTGATTAGATACTCATTTTCACCATTATTTATACCAACAGTGCGGTTTTTGCCTCATTTGCCACACTTCACACAAAACCACTACAGCGCAGATGCGTGCATGCATTTTATATGCGAATGAGTGTAGCAGTGGCAACTCTAACTACATAAATAAACAGATGATACTGTCTTTGGTTTACTGAAGGAGGACAGTAAAATTTCAGAGTATTGGTCAGGAGTACAAAGGTTTGTAGCACAGTGTGATAATCTGTCAGCAGCCATACCATGTGCAGTTCAGACTAATTAATCCACCTGAAGGTTTGGGTTTGTCTAGGACTTGGATAGGAGATCAATTAGGAAAGTTGGGTTGCTGCTGTAAGAGGTATTGGTGTGGCCAACAGGAGAACCCATCTTGTGGTCTGTGTGGATCCCAATGCCCCAATGCGGTGATGACTATTTGAGGTCATAAAAGATCTCTGGGCATCTTTTGACAGAGTAGGGCTGGTACACCAATGTCCTAGCTAAAGTTGTCGTTTCAAATCTGGCCTCCTAATTATCCCCTATATCTAACTGGTGAATTCTCTCTTGGCACTTCACCACTTTAGCTACTGTCTGAGCATACTGCTGCGGAATGGCTGCCATCACCTCATCTAAGTGGGTGGATCAACTGGCTCCCCACTGGTTCAATATAAGTGCGCTATATACACTCACCTAAAGGATTATTAGGAACACCATACTAATACGGTGTTTGACCCCCTTTCGCCTTCAGAACTGCCTTAATTCTACGTGGCATTGATTCAACAAGGTGCTGAAAGCATTCTTTAGAAATGTTGGCCCATATTGATAGGATAGCATCTTGCAGTTGATGGAGATTTGTGGGATGCACATCCAGGGCACGAAGCTCCCGTTCTACCACATCCCAAAGATGATCTATTGGGTTGAGATCTGGTGACTGTGGGGGCCATTTTAGTACAGTGAACTCATTGTCATGTTCAAGAAACCAATTTGAAATGATTCGAGCTTTGTGACATGGTGCATTATCCTGCTGGAAGTAGCCATCAGAGGATGGGTACAGGGTGGTCATAAAGGGATGGACATGGTCAGAAACAATGCTCAGGTAGGCCGTGGCATTTAAACGATGCCCAATTGGCACTAAGGGGCCTAAAGTGTGCCAAGAAAACATCCCCCACACCATTACACCACCACCACAAGACATGATGGATCCATGTTCTCATTCTGTTTACGCCAAATTCTGACTACCATTTGAATGTCTCAACAGAAATCGAGACTCATCAGACCAGGCAACATTTTTCCAGTCTTCAACTGTCCAATTTTGGTCAGCTCGTGCAAATTGTAGCCTCTTTTTCCTATTTGTAGTGGAGATGAGTGGTACCCGTGGGGTCTTCTGTTGTTGTAGCCCATCCACCTCAAGGTTGTGCGTGTTGTGGCTTCACAAATGCTTTGCTGCATACCTCGGTTGTAACGAGTGGTTATTTCAGTCAAAGTTGCTCTTCTATCAGCTTGAATCAGTCAGAATTCTCCTCTGACCTCTAGCATCAACAAGGCATTTTCGCCCACAGGACTGCCGCATACTGGATGTTTTTCCCTTTGCACACCATTCTTTGTAAACCCTAGAAATGGTTGTGCGTGAAAATCCCAGTAACTGAGCAGATTGTGAAATACTCAGACCGGCCCGTCTGGCACCAACAACCATGGCACGCTCAAAATTGCTTAAATCACCTTTCTTTCCCATTCTGACATTCAGTTTGGAGTTCAGGAGATTGTCTTGACCAGGACCACACCCCTAAATGCATTGAAGCAACTGCCATGTGATTGGTTGATTAGATAATTGCATTAATGAGAAACTGAACAGGTGTTCCTAATAATCCTTTAGGTGAGTGTAAATGTAACATTCTTTCATAATCACCTGGAAGTAAATGTTAAAAAGACAGAGGACATGGTGCTTGACCCTAGAGCAGTGGATGACCACAGGCAGGAGATAAAACCATCTTACAGGTTGCCAGGTACAAATACCATCCTTTTCTTATTGATAGCTCACTGATTCTCATGCAGCACTCATGCACATAGTATTTGTATCAGGCTACAGCAACAGGTGCATTTCTTGCAGCGACTCAGTTCATGGCATAGATCTGAAGTTTTATTTGGCAGTCTTTGGCAGTTTATGGCATCACAGCTTGGTTTGGTAACTGCTCCGTGTTACTAAAGTTAAAATTATTCCAACTGCATGGAAGAAGGAATTTTGTCCTCAAAATCTGATCCAGATTAATACCTTTTCTTCAGAATGCATCTTCACAAGTTAGGTCTTTCTATGAAATACTTTGAGCCATTGTGCAAATGAGAAAGTGTTCTCAGCAGTTTTGGAACCAACCAGTCTCGGAACCAACCAGTCTCAAAAATAACAGTATTTCCCAGCCAGAGTATACAATGAAGCTGCTTAGCATTTAGTGGTCATCCCATAATAGCACTTTTACCTGGGCTGATAAACACCTTGCATCATGCTGCTTTAAGATATTTTTATATACCCGTTTTGCATTGCAGAATATCAGTCACAAAATTCAGCAGTAAAACAATACCTCGTATAATATGTCATCAGAAATGTTACATGTAAATATGAGTATACAGCAGTATTTGGATCATATTTAATTGCAATTTGGGGAGTACAGAAGCTCAATGTCTGGCACCGCTACCTCACACCTCCAGGGTATGGAGTTTGCACATGTTACCTGTATCTTGTGCATATTGTTCAGGGGGCCCCTTGCTGTTACCTCCCATAATTCAAAGCTGAAACAGCCAGGCTCTGTGTGTCTGTGTCTGTGTCTGTGTGTGTGTGTGTGTGTGTGTGTGTGTGTGTGTGAGTGTGTGTGTGTGGCATCCCATCCAGCCTGAACCTCAGCCTGGGACAGACTTTGGGGCTATCCATGGCTATATCCAAAATAAGACTTTTTCATTTTTAATCTGGTCTAATACCCTCCTTTTTGTAACCCAAACCAATTACAAAACTTGATTGTGTTGTCTCAAATGGAATGGAACAGTGTGAAGTCTTTTCCAGTGGCTGGAATGCCAATCCTGCCACCAACCCCCAAATTTTCCCTGAAAGTTGGAGGACCTGCTTGCCCTACCTAAGATGAAGCCTTGCACAAGGGGCCAGAGTAGAATCATACATTCATAGGATTCGAACCAGCAACCTTCCAATTGACAGCACAGGTGCCTAGTTTCAGAGCGATCACACCGCCTTAACTTAGCATGAGGCGGTAGAAAATATGGGACAAATTGCCTATTTTTGTGGATCAATATGGGACATGGCATTTTACCTGCGTCCTGAGCACCAAGGACATAGATTGGTTAATTGCTACTCGCCCTACCTTCAGGATGCTGAAAACCTACTACACAGAGGATGACTCATAGTACCCCCTCGTGTTGCTTATCTGCGCTGCTTTGTGCTTATTTGTGTGCACATGTATTTAGTTTGACCTGCCTGATCACCGCATTTGTTTCAGAAAGCCCTTCTTTGTTATCCATACCCACTGCCTTAGAGTGGGTCAGGATAAAATTGGCCCATCCGCTACCAGATCCACCCTTGTACAGTGAAAGAAGTTGGTTTTCTAGCTATACTAGGCTAGACGTGGTACTTCCTCCGTGTTTTATATTTTGAATAGGTAGTGTAGTGTAGACAACCAGTCTGGTTTTATTTTACTGAAGTCAGTTGATTAAAAGAATTAAACATTAGGTATGAAAGGTTTTTTCTTATTATTATTTTCCTTTCTTTGGTGCTACCTTATGTCCCACCTGGCTAGGGTTTGTAATATTGTAAATATCATACACGTGGCATTAAATCAGGCCATACAGTGCAAGTCACTTTTGCCTTGTGTTTCATTTTCTTTTGTATCCCTTCTTGTGCTTTATGTTATGCCCTTTTTTAGACATCCCAGGACGTAACATGTACATGTATGATTATTAGAATTATATTATTATACATGTGTGCTGTTTTATAGAGCACCCACCTATCCAGAGCTTCCCTGAAGTGTTTCCTTTGCACATCAAACTGGAATATCGTCCTCTCGCAATCCGTAGATGCATTGTCACTACCACCATGTTTCTTCAGGAATGCATCAAACCCATTTTCTGCTGGGTACTTCTCACTACCCATGAAGACCACTAAGAGAAAGCAGTAGAGAAGTCATCACTTTATAAATATAACCCTTTAAGAAGTTTAAGCGATCATAAAAAATTTCCACAGATGCTAAACAAAGACATCAGTTAAAAGAATAGAAATGACACAGGAAGGGGAGGCTTACTATGTTCAAGGAAATGTGCCAGACCAGGTAGGTCATCTGGGTCACTAAAGCTTCCCACTCCAATGCACAGGGCAGCTGCAGACTGGAGTATAAAAACGATACTTGAAGGCAAGGCACTGTGCAAGTCTGGTTTTAGAGCTTAGATTTGTTTTTAGCAGACAAACAATCAAATCAATCAATCAAAAATCAATCAATCAATTACAAAATTCACCAAGCTCATTGACAAGAACATACAAGGGAATGTTCCTAGTGATGGAGCTATGCACAGGCAGACAAAAATATGGAACCTATGCAAAACCTCATATGATATATGCTGACCGATTACCACAGCAATATACTATTAATAAATGTTTTCACAAAACCAACCTGTTTTTCAGAGGATACTTTTTTGCTTCTGCCTTCACTGTTCTCATCAAGTTCTTCAAAGTCACTGTCCTGCTCTTCCTCCTCCTCTTCTGACTCTTCTTCAGTTCCCTCCCCAGAGTCTCCCTCCTCCTCCTCTTCCTCCTCTGCTCCCTCACTTTCACCCTCTTCTGAGTCATTATCTTCAGCATTTGCATTTCCATCTGTCCCACTGAAGTCTGAGATGAGTAGTGCTCTTAGTCCATTGCTCAACTCGATGTACCTGATACAGGGTTGATTAGTGAATTACCAGGCCTGTCTCAAATTTAATAACTCCACAAATCTATGTTATTTAACACAATTCTCTTTCCAGGCTATATGATCTCCCCATGGTGAAAACAGGGTTCATTTCCATTATACAGTTTCTACTCTAGTGCACTGATGCATTAAAGAAAACTTATATTGCACCTGCAGTGTCAAAGCAGTCATTTCAAGTCAAACTACTGACGATCTCTACCAACACTTTGCTATAATTTACCTGTAATGTTTGGGATCACTTGGCGATTTGACGATTTTGATATCTCCAACGTTTTCCCTGCTGTTTGATTCTGATGCCCCTTGTTCTCCTGGCTGCTGGAGGTCACCCCAATCCATACCAGACTGCTGACCTGAACTGCAAGCAGCACTCTTAGCCTTATTCACCTGGGGCATTCTGAGAAGTTAACTCTGCAATCCAATAAAAACAACAAGCTGGGAAATAAAACGCTGTATAGTTAAAACGACAAGTTCATCAATTATATGAATAGATGAATAAATTAATAATAGACATGCATTTTTAAATAAAAATAATGCTTTGTACGTATAGTAATAATGCGTTTTGCAAATCACCATATTGTGCGATACGGTTTCCTAGATAACATCTTAATCAAAAGAGAAATAAGCTAGCTGTCAATAAACAAATCCCTTTCATCGAAGATTATCAATAAATCAATTTTATGTAATGAAATAGAAATTAGAACAGTTTAAGCCTTCAGATCGGCAATAACATTGTAACCTAAGTTATTATAATGTGTTTAATTATTATCTCCGTAGGTAGGCTGCTTATGCACGTCGACGATTTGATCATTCTCCAAGGATAGGGGAAGCTGGTTATCAGAAAATGCCAAATGTAAGCGAAGGAAAACACTTTAAATATAAATTAGTCAAATATAATAAAAATTGATGATAGGTAAAATGTCGCGCTTTCATGAAAAAATTCACTACCATACCTGTCTCGTGGATGCTAGGTCAACGCGACTTCATTACTATTTCCAAATGCGGAGAGCCGCTCAAAGAGACGCAACACGATTAGTGGAAAATACACCGACGTAAAAATAACAGAAGTCCTAATTGGCTGAGCGCAGAGGCATTAGCTCGTTGTTATTGGGGTAGGATGCGGAAGTGAATGACTATGTTTGATAGGCTCGTAAAGAAGAGCACGTGTCTTCGTGCAGCCGTGCTGCGTAGTTCTTGTTTTTAGTGTTAACGGTTTTGGGCATGCGCAATGTGTGTACGTTCTTAAATGCGTTTTGTAGTTAATATTAAATGTAGTAGTTAGTAGTGTAGTTACTGCAGCTTTTTACTGAAACCGCAGCTGTTTGAAAAGGAAGAAATCCAAGTTTCATCGCAGTAAGGATCAGTTTTTTCCTCATTTAATGAGTCTGCCCAACACCCAATTTGTGAGTAAAATTATTTATTAAGGTCAGTCACTGCAAACTGTAAAACTCACGGTGGTACAATGACAGATTTGTTTGGATAATATGTTAACTTTTTAAATTAATATATGTCGTATCACTTAGGGGGGTACTGTGCATTTTGGTACTCTGCTTGTAGCTTTGTCTTTGCAGTGTGCTAGTAAATGTCTGCCTGTCAGGTTTCACAGTATTAAGAATTAAGATCGTATAGAGGAGACTTTTAAGAGAACGCTGGCCAAGTACCAGGGGCTTCCAGAGGATTGCTGGAGGCAGGAGTGGTGAGCATAGTGCCATCCAGTGGAAGTAGGCTGCAGAGGCTTCGTCGGCTACTCTCTCTACAGAGTGTACATCTTGCTGGACATAAGTGGGCCACTCAGAATGACAGCCATCAGGACTGCAACAGAGACATCAAAAAGAGCTTCCAGGGGGTTGTGGATCAAGAGGGGTGAGCCGTAGCTTAATGCTGCTGAGATGAAAGTCGGGGCTTGATCAACCCTGGCTGGGTCACCCTGGCAAAGGGTGTATGATATGAGACCTGAAACACCCTATGAACCCAGGAAACTAGGATGTATCTTTCACTCAGGAAAGGAATGAGCCAAGGAGCTCTTCCAAACTGTGCTATGATGTATCAACTGGATGGAGACTGTCTGTCAAAGACTCATGGAGTACAGTCTGCTCAAGGAGAGGGAAGGCAGCAACTGCTTTGCCAAGGGCATGTCTGAGACCTTCTCCACACTGCATAACTTGGTCCACAAGGGCGTGAAAGTAGTGATGGATATCCTGTATTAGTTGTGGAGCGAGACATCTGCAGAGGTGGCAGATCCCTTGGCTGTGATTTTGCTAGATAGTAGGTAGGGACAGTGGGAATCTCGTTCATCCATACATGCGCGTCACTAATAAGATGACGAGGCATTTGGCTACCTTAAGAGAGTCATAGTTACTCCCGCCGATTACCCGCGCTTCATTGAATATCTTCACTTTGACATGAAGTCATATTAAAATAATATATGATTATTTTTGTCTTATGGTTTCCTCCGGGGTATCCAGATCCCATCAATACAATAACATGCCAAGGTGAATTGGAATTGCCAAATTGCCCCTAGCTTTGGTGTGTGTGCCCTGTGATGGGTTGGCACCATATCCTGGGTTTTTCCTGTACCTTTTTACCTTGTGGGGACATTTTTTTGGTCCTCAAAAGAGAAAACTCAGTTTCACAAAAATATGTGAATGCAATCAAAAAACTAAACTAGGCAAAATTCTTGTGTTTTTATTTGGTTACTTTTGGTTATGGTTAGGGCTGGGTAAGGATTAGGGTTGTCATAGTTATGATTAGGGTTATGCCCATAGAAATAAATGGAAAGTCCCCATAAAGATGTGAATACTTGGACTGTGTCTGTGTGGCATATAATGCTGCTGCAGTGGATAATGTTCTGCACTGACATGACTTTGCATTTTATCCCAACACACAACAGACACCCAATTTTGCTTTTATCAACTGTGTGGCCATAAAAGAGATGGGATTGGAGAACAATCTCACAACAATTCAAGCCAATAAGAGATTGGAAAACTTAAAGAAAAAATATAGGGAGTACCAATTCTTATCTTATTATCTGATGAATGGGCCACAGGATCACATGTAGGCAATTTCTCTGTGTGAATTATCTGGCTCCAGTCCTACAAGTAAAATCAGAAAGGTTTATATGTGATGTGTTAATTTCTTTTACACATTTTACACAGGTTCTGATATTACCGCAGACTGGATCAGGGACAAACTGGCTTTTCTTTGAGAAGATGCACTAGGCTCTGTTCCATCCAGCCTCTGAACATCAATGCCACAACAGCAGACTCATCATCAGATGTTGCAGAGGAGGCTAATGGGGTGCAGAGTAGCTCTGCTCCAGGGTCATCCACTACCCAAACTGTCTGTGGGTTCCAAAATGCCCAAACCAACAAATAAGCAAAATTGAGGTTGTAGAGTACCGTACCAAAAGGACTACAGAGAAAGATAGGAGAAGAGGAAGAAGTGGAAAGGAACAAGTAGTCATAATTTCTTGGTTTGAATATTTTAATGTATGATTATCAACCATAGGTGTTTGTTTAATTTTATTTCTTAAACATATGTATGGTTATAAATAACATTGACTTCTGTTCTTTAAATTATATGATTCATAATTTAAAAGTTGCATGACATTAAACACAAGTTGCTTCTCATCTGTCTCAGTGCAGTGTTCTTTGAACTGAAATTTTGGCATGGAAAGTGAAAGAGTTTGCTTTAAGGGGGATTTGTGGGTGTAAAACAGAAAGGTGTGTAGAAATGTCATTCTTGAGTAGCAAAAAAATGTGGATCCATCACAAACAAGAATCACAGAATGCAGTAATTAGTTATTGATTTATGACTACAAAAGTAAATAATTTCAACAAGATGAACAGAAATATTTTAAGGATAAACCAGGGTTGTGGTAGCTGGTGTAAATGTAAGCTAAATATTAATTTACATGTACAACAAAAATTCATCTTTTGGTATATTTATGATGCATTAACAGGGCCTGAAGGTACTGGGGTGCCAGTATGCGGGCACATTGCCTGTCCCTTATGTGGGCCCTTCTCCTCTCCTGGATGTCATGTAGGTCACATGAAGCAGGTTCTCCAAGCTGGAATTCTGGCTCTTCTATGACATCTCCATGTGTGAGACACACATTGTTGAGGAATGCACAGGCAAGTTCTGAACACAATTTTGGCTTGATCTCCAGTGCCTTGAATAAGGTGGCCCCAAATGTCCTCTCAGTTGTAGAACAGGCTCTGCAATGCTTTCCACTAAAGCATTCCTACATCTACCTCTGAAATGGGTGTCTCAAAGGGATTATAAGGTTGATTTTATAGAATTGGTATCATTTATGTTTGACAAACATTATGGAAAAGTATCATACATTTAAAACCTTTGTTGATGTAATGTGACATAGTACTGTTTGCACTTTAGAGAAAAGATTTTTTCCCCATCTTAACACCAAAGTTATTTTATATTTTCTGAAACATTTCTCACTTTAAACCAACCATGTCAGACATTTGTAATTCAACTATGCATGTTCAACTATTCATTCATTTTCATGTTCATATTCTGCTGTGATCTCTCAATTTAGATGTTCCTTATAAATAATCACATATAGTTACATTTTTTAAAAAGGGAAAATGTCAAGCACCATCCATTGCAGGTTATGATGAAATTGTCATTGATTCAGCATTTTTGCTAGAAATGTGCAGAGACATCTTGTAATTTTATTTATCCAGATGTAATGCACAAAATTAAGGACATATTTAATTTAATATAAAAGTGCAAAAAATGTATCACATCACAGGGTTGAATGCACAACAACAGGGTTGAAAATCATTTAATGGCTGAATGAACAAACATTAAATACTGTCAGATTTTTCTCCAATAAGCAGAAATCATATTAGTACATACACCTATAGTCAGTCAGTCACTCACTCACACACACACATTTGTATTCATATCAATGTGGGGACCGTCCATTCATTTCTATGGGGAAAGACCTTAATCCCAGCAATAACAACCTTAACCCCTATTCTACCCTAAGCTTAATCATAAGCAACCAAACAAAATACAACACATTTTTGATTGCATTTCTAAAATTGAGTCTTAGGGAGACTGAAAAAATGTCTCCACAAGGTAAAACGTTACAGGTATTTATCACATTGTGGGGAAATCTGGACAATCAGCACAGTGGCATGCTGGACTGATGTCAAATGTAAATAGTGTAAATAGCTGTGTATAATCAGCAAGTATTGTGTTGCATTTGTGCTGTACATTAATATGAGAAGTGTTAAATGCTAATTGGTGTGTGTGTACCCATCGTGTATCATGTGGGTAGTCAGGGTGGCCAGCATAGTGGGCAGTGTGTGTTGTCAGTGAGTGGCATACGTGCAGTTTAGCCATTTTGTGTTTTCCTGCATTTTGACTCAGCATCATATTGTGTGATCCTCATGTCTGGTACCCACACCACACTGGGGGTGGAAGTAGAGGAACTTAATTAGTAGGGAGATCAAACAGCTCCTAAGAAGCCACCACCAAAAGTGCACAACAAACCTGAGGAGACCTCCATGAACTGAGTGCTATGCCTTTCCAGAGTGACCCGACAGGGCTAACACCACCCAACTGCCTGAGAGACAGCACTATGACCAGGAGCGGCGTGACACAAGGACCTTCCTAAAGCTGCCTCACTACAACACATCAAAAGATGGACCGTGTTTGAAGTGTAGCCTGCACGTCTCCAAATGGAGGCCCAAAAAAGGCAGTAGGCATTTCAATCAGACTTTGAACTGAAGCTCGTTATATATAAGATGAAACTCTGTCAGAAGTACTAGGAAAAGATCTGCTTAGCTGTTTGCGCAGCTGTCTTTACCTCACCATTAGCTCGGGCATAGTGAGGGCTGGTTCTTATGTGGAATTGAAATTGCTACTGTACCGCGCTGCTTCAATTTTGGAACAATATGCCTAAAATTTAATCGGTTCCATTTCGGCACCCTGCAATGCTTCTGCAAAGTTTCGAAAAGAGCAGTCAATTAGTTTTTGAGTTATCCTCTTAATAAGCAAAGCATCTTTGGAGGCAGCGGACCGGTCCCAAAACCATACGTATTTCACGGAATCCGGGGCATATATTATGCCATTTGATGGCAATTGTACAAGACCATTTGGATACTTGTAATAAAACATTGGGAAATTTGTGTGAAACACTAAGGAATGATGTTCTGCTGTGCACAAGTGACATCATGGTGTTGGGATTACACTCGTCGTTTGCAAATGTTAATTGTCATTTGAAATATGTGCCAAAGAAATCGAGAAAAAATAATGCACAGTGTTGCATTTCCTCCTTTGATTTATGTGTGTCACTGGCGATGACTGGCGTCAGCGCTACACGGTCGACATGGCGACCGCGATGAGAAACACCGTCTCCCCAAAACAGCTGAAGATTGGTTAAGTTCAATCAGAGACTGTAAGTACCAGTTGACGTTTTGACATTTTTGCCATAAATAATATTAGTATTCTAACCTTAGGTTTATGGCCTACAAGCTAAAAAAGAAAACTATTTTCTTTAACCGACTGCTTAGTCCAATCCCTTATGGCCCCAATGCGGCTAACTGGGAACAATAGGGGCATTAGCTTCGTTTCTTATGCTTATTTATCCTTCGTTAGTTAACAGAAATCTTCGAGAAATAATTTTACGTAGATATTTTATATTTATCAATAGTTAGTAATTTGTTTCTCTGGAAAGTTGAGGTCTATTTTTTCTGTTTTTCATCAATAGCGTTGTTGGTTAGCTACAAAGATACAGCGACTGTTGAGCTGTGTAATTCTCGACGCGATTAGATAACTTTATACATAAATAAGTATAACCTGCTTGATACTTTTCCATTTATTTTAAAAACGTAGTTTACACGCATGTTGGTACTTACAGTTAGATGTCAGCTATTTTGCAGGAAAAGCTGCATATATCATTTCGCTGGCTTGGTTTAATTTCTTGCCTCCTGGGGCACGAATTAGCCTGATCTAGATTAAAGTTTATGTCCTTGCGAACAGTTAAAGGAAAATAAAAGCCTTGTTTTTTAATTATATATTTTCGTCATATGATGTGTTCTAAAATATTTACTCGATTTATTTTAATGTGTGTGATCGATACCATTTGGCCTACTTAGCTAGCTAGCTTTTGCAGAACAAGAGAACATATCCGGGAAACTGCAATATTTAACCCATTTAGTATATAATTTTAAAATATATCTTATAAAAAAGTCAAACTAACTAAAGGTCCATTGACAGGCTGAGTAGCGAGTACGTTATTTTCAGTTTGTGTGATTAGGCCTTAGGCTTTAGGAAACTAAATCTGCACTAACCTCCATTTGGCTTTTGTAATTAAACACGTCAGGGGATGTTGCTAATGTTATATAACAAATAGTATAATTTAATCTACATATTGTGTTGATATTAGCAAAACTATTTGTTACGTAATTTAAAAAAAAACTGTATGAATATTTATAAGGTATTTCAATTCTTGTGTGTATTTATTAGGTAGATGTCGATGTAATTTCTGTGTTTGGTTTCCTAATTTTACGGTAATTGTGCATGGTTTTGTATAATAGCACGCATCGATAGTTTGGTAGCAAAATAACTAATCTAGATTTGTCATTTAGGACCCGTGTCGATGTATGCCTGATGTCCTGAAAAATACATTAATTACTTCTATCGTTGCATTTGTTTGTATCCTGGTGAATTGGGCGTAGCTGACCTCAGGGTCGGTCATGATGTATCCAGGAATGCTCTGCTTTTTAAAATTACTCCGCTTGGTATAATATGCAGGTTAAAAAATGCACCTGTTCTTTGCTACATCCGAATTTAGTTGAGGACAGAGTGCTGTTTATTTTACAAAGTAAATGGTTTTAGGGTTTGCATCCCAAACCTAAAGGGCTTCACCATATTCAGTTCTTGAATATTCCACTGGAGCTTGTATGTCACTTTAAATATCACCAAAATGATTTTTTTTTCTGTGTGTTGTTTACCATCTGAAATCTAAACGATAGTGACAGCCACATTGCTGTAGTCCAGTGTTTTTCATAGAACGTTTGACACGTGGTGTTTCTCAAAACACTTGCTTAAATGTGCCTAAATCATGGGCCTGTATCACAAAGCAGGATTTCTTGTTTTGCCAGACTGGCCTAAATGTAAGTGAATGAAGATAAAGTCCATTTAAACTGGGGTATCTTAAATCTGGCAAATTATCCAGCTGAGTAAGAAATCCCACTTCATGATACAGGCACCATATGTTTTGGTAACTTTGAAAGCTTAGTTTAGGAAAACTTATCAAGCTAAGTTTTGTTTTGTTTGTTTTTTGTAAGCTGAAGAAGAATTAAGCAGTTTGGATGCGAATATGGGCTGACTGAAGCGTAGATTGTATACTGCAATTATATATTCAATTATACAAGTGTAGTACAATTAATGAATTTAACATGTGTCCATGCAATGGATGTACGATGACATTTCTTTTCTCTTTCAGGTTTATATTTCACACTACGTGATGAATGTCGACAATGTCAGAATATATCGAAAATCATTGATGTTTGGGAAGTTCTTAATTTTTTTTTGTGATTCCAGTGGAATCTGGATTTTTGTTTCTTGTTTTTAAAAAAAACAAAAGGCATACAGCTAAGAAGATTTATGTAGATTAATTTTGTTACAATGCCTGTACAAGCACCACAATGGACGGAGTTTCTGCTGTGCCCCATATGCACTCAAACTTTCGAGGACACCATCCGTAAGCCCATTAGCTTGGGCTGTGGCCACACTGTTTGCAAGATGTGCCTGAACAAGCTGCACCGCAAGGCATGTCCATTTGATCAGACCACAATCAACACTGACATCGAGCAGCTCCCAGTCAACTCTGCTCTCTTACAGCTTGTCAGTGGACAAGTAAGTTATGTTAATCTTACTTTATTGTCCTCTAATTCAATGTTTCCCAACCTGGTCCTTGAGGACCCCAGACAGTCCACATTTTTCTCCCTACCAGGAGCTGGGACTATCTGACAGGGAGCTTAGAAGGAGCAGAACATGGAATGTCTGGGGGTCCCCAAAGACTGGATTGGGAAACATTGCTAAAATTGACTTCTTTGGAGTTTTTATGACTAATGGCTTTGCTTCCATATTCAGATATTTTCTACACCTTCCACTACTCCTGCATTTTGCCATTTCTATTAAGTGACATAACTGGTAACTGAAAATGGCTAATGGTGTCAGTCAGTCACTTGGACAGCAGAAATGCTGAATCTCTATCTGTAATAGAGTTGTTTCTTCATTAGCCTTATTGAAGTTCTTAAAATTAAGTACTCTCAGCCTTCACCTTGACTATCTGTTTTGTGTGTTATTTGTCTGCTGCAGGGCACATTTGGACAGCCTGCTAAGGTGGTTAAAGAAATGAGTGTAGCAAATAAGTATTGTTCAGAGAAGTATTGTCTTGCTTGGCAAGTCAGTATTCATTGTTTCCACTTTAGATTTCTTTGTTTCGTTTTTAGATTTGTAAAAAAAGACTTCTTTAAATGTGTGTTGTTGCCAACTTAAATTTCAAACTCCAAATATATTACAAATTATGCTAATAATATATTAGAAATTAACCCTGGGGAACCCAGACCACCTTATCATTCTAGGAAAAATATGTCCATTGGCTAAAATGATCATACAGACCCAGTGAACTCAAAAACAGGTGTTTTGTAAAAATAACCCCTTCCCAGTCCATGTTATGAAATGTGCCATATACGACCCGCTGGACTGTTCATGCTGTTTCAATTTGTTAATTTCACCTATGAAATAAGGACAGAAAAGAAGGAAAAAACAAATCTTTGCAACATTCTCATTTTCAAAATGCATTTATTGAGTTTTCCTTTTTATCATTCACCATGTGCTGGCAATAAGACACATGCTTCAAACATGCCAACACATCAAGAAACAGGTCAAGTGAACAGACCTGCAAAAAGGTGTACTGCACACAGGAAGTTTAGTTGTGGTGGGTTGTAAGGTCTAGTGCATCACCTGTATTCCCTCTGTTTTTGTCTGAGGCTGATGCTGTGCACATGAAACATGATCATCACAGTTGCCAGAAAAGTTTCAAAACATCCAAAACCTAGTTGTACATGTTCTGTAACATCTAAACATTATAACTGATGATGCAAAATTTCTGCCACTTACCTATTCACAGCTTGACAGGTGAATCTTTGCAGCATGTACAGCAACAACCTCAAAACGCGTTGGGGGCCATATTTATTGTGGGAAAAAAATCTGGTTAATTCAGTCAGTAATCACTAAATGTCACTGTTACTGGGTCGTATATGGTACAATGGGCTGTAAAGCAAAAAAAAATTGTTAACTTTGATGAGTGGGTTGAATGTAAGGCAGAAATAAAAGGAAGGGTTGTATATGACCTTGTGAGTTCCCCAGGGTTATGATATTTTAGAAAATGGATAAATATACCAATTTTATTAAGTGAAATAAAAGCTATACACTAAGAGTGGTTACCCTGCCTTCCAGGACAAAAACATTAAATATTTTATGGTAGGGCTCTGAGATGTCACATTGCGATATAATCGCAATCCTATGACGCATGTGCCATTGATAACGGGTGAAACATTTACCCGGACTTCGTCTTTTTGGTACTATACAAACGTTTACCTACACCCACAAATTGGTAAGCAGATTGCGGCAAAAGTATTCATGAGATGTGTATTGTGATGCCAAAAAGTTAGTAATCTGTATAAATTCAGTGTTTACTTATTTTTATTAATTTCAGTAAACCACATACTACTGTTTTAATAAATCATGGAAGTGATAAGTACTGAAGTGGCGGTGAAGAAAGGGACAGCTCAACAGCCACATCTTTTAAAAGTTGAAGTGCACCCATATGATATTCGGAGCGGTATCAGTGCAGATCACTACCTATTAGACGGATCGGGTATTGGCCATATGTGACCGATCCACGTCCGATACTTACTTGTTTTTTTTTCAGACTGTTAAAAACTGAGCGCTCACATTTCTTGTATGATCGATTTGTACAATCAATTGCTCAACAGCTCTTTTCCATTTTATATGTGTTTTTGTGGCATTCAAGCTGAAAACTTAACTCTGCCATACGTTTTTTTTTTTTTGTCACTCAGTGGGTGTGAGTGCAGTGACTCCCTCCTGCTGTGATGTCATGCGCATATCCTTTGCAGTAGGGTGGAGTATAAGAACATCATATAAATGGATGACAATCTGGAAGTATTTTACGCTTTTAACAACTAGTAGCACAGCGATTTGCAATATTTGTTTAAAAAACAAAAAGAGTTTTGAGAGGTGGGAGTAGCATTGAGTGGAAAATCCCACTAAACAAAGTGCACAGAATTGTGGGAGACAATATGCAAAAATTGTGCAAGTAATATGCAAAAAGCAAAGGATGATTTTGGGAGTTGCTAGCAGCTTTTGATACAGGGGGGGCTGCTGTTGCGACAAAATGTAAGTGATGCTGTTGCCAGTGTAAGAGAAATTGTGGAGCATTTTAAGCGTTCACCTCTTGTGTATACTGTCTTGGAACATAAACGCTTCATAAGTGCTTCAAAACAAGATGTCCAAACAAGGTGGAACATTACATTATCTATGTTTCTAGTAGCCTAATTAAATATTTTTTTGGCATATATTTTTTCATTTGTATTTAGTGGTTTTAAAATATTAATATATAAAGTAGACATATTTCATATTTGTTATGTAAAAATATTTAAAAAGAGCTCTTATATAGGGCTGCCACTAACGGCTATTTTTCTATCGATTATTTTACCGATTCGTCGATTCATCTAAATGATTAATTTTCATCCAGAAAATCAAATGGACCATTTAATTTAATTTAAATAATTTTTTTTGACAACAATAAATTGTATGTTATTGCAGCGCTTTAGATAATGGAGGCTTCGGCACTATACGGATATTATTTTGGCCCACAATTCGATAAGCAAACTAGTAGTATGGCTAAAATAGTAATGAGATATGTATTGTGATGCCCAGAAGTTCGTAATCTGTATAAATTTGGGGTATCCTTATGCTTATTAAACTCTGTTAGCGGAATGCCCCGTGCTGCTGTTTTGGTAAGCTGTGGAAGTGATAATCACTGAAGTAGCGGTGAACCTAGAGTTAGCAACCACAATATCTTTTGAAAGAGAATATATTGTGGATAAACAAGGTACAAAGATCGTCTTGTGGCACTACTTTTTACCATTTGACTTTTTGCCAATAAATGCTGGGTCGAACATGGCAAATGATTGTATTCATGTGTGCATTTTAAGTGCTGCGTTGGCAAACAGTGATGGACTGCTTTTTTTACCCTCAGTAAAGTCATAGTGTTTCCTGAAAGTCCTATGTACACAAGGGCTTAATTTAGCGGTCGACCGATATGGGTTTTTCAATGGGTTTTTTTTTGAGTCAGGGTCAGCCGATGGCCGATATATGCTGCCGATTTTTTTTGGCCGATAATCGGACGTTTCCCCCTCTATTTGCATGGTAAAATATCACGCTAATACCAAACGATACACAAAATTTCTCAACTTAGCATTTATTGAATACTGACTTGTGTAAATATAAATATAAACAAATAACAAAAACACAATACAACTTGTAAAAACTTATAACAAACTTATAAACATTAAAAGTAGCAGCATCAGAATCTCTTTTAGTGCACAATATAACAGCAAACCCCTCATTTCTAAGGGAAGGAAAATTTGTAATCAATACAAAAAGCAATGTGCATGTTATCTTCAGTTTAAATCCCACATCCAGTTCCTGAGTCTTCCTCACCCCACCCATCCCTCACTGAAAGTTGTTAGTACTCCCAGGATTAGATTTTTCTTCAGCCATCAGACAGAAATTACTAAAACAGAAGAAAAAATGCAAGGCTAGCATTTTTATTATAGTGCCTTCATCTTCAATTCAATGTACAATTCCAGTATTCCATGCACATTAAAACAATTATACTCTAATACATTTTGAAAGAAAAAAAAAAAACACTAGTAACTAAGTGCATCATGGTATGATGAGTAGTGTACAAGGCCCGAAACCTTTCACTAACATGTTGTTTATGTTAGCAGACAGCTTACAAGCCAAATTTACAATCAGAATCTAGCGATCGCAGAAAATAAACTTTGTCGTATTACACAGCCTTGTATGCAAGGACAACGTAAGCCCCTAGTGATTGTGACGTTGTCGACGGATAAGCCCGTATAAAGGATAGACATGTTTAATGAGGAAACTAACTGCGCAAAGTCGTGCACTTTTTATCTAGATGTCTGACAAATTGTTCGAATCTCTGCTCTCAAATGCAAACAAGTTACACAGAAGGACCACTGTCAGAATCAGCTCAAGTGAATGGTAACCACCATTCACTTGGGGTCCGGGGTCCGCTGTTGTGGGCGATTCAGTCCCTGTATGAACGGAGCAGAAGCTTGGTCCGCATTGCCGGTAATAAGTCAGACATGTTCCCAGTGTAGGTTGGGCTCCGCCAGGGCTGCCCTTTGTCATCGGTCCTGTTTATAATATTTATGGACAGGATTTCTAGGCGCAGCCAGGGTGTTGAGGGTGTCCAGGTTTGTGGCCTCAGGATTGCCTCGCTGCTATTTGCAGACGATGTCGTCCTGTTGGGTTCATCTGCTGGGGATCTCCAGCGTGCTCTGGGGCGGTTCGCAGCCGAGTGCGAAGCGGCGGGGATGAGGATTAGCACCTCCAAGTCCGAGACCATGATTCTCAGCCAGAAACAGGTGGTTTGCCCTCTTCGGGTCAGGGAAGACGCACTGCCTCAAGTGGAGGAGTTTTAGTATCTCGGGGTCTTGTTCACAAGTGAGGGTAGGCGAGATCGGGAGCTGGATAGACGAATCGGAGCGGCGTCTACAGTTTTGCAGGCGCTTAACCAGTTCGTCGTGGTTAAGAAAGAACTGAGCCAAAAAGCAAAGCTCTCGATATATTGGTCCATCTTCGTCCCTACCCTCACCTATGGTCATGAGCTATGGGTAATAACCGAAAGAATGAGATCGCGAATACAGTCGGCCAAAATGAGGTTCCTCCGCAGGGTGTCTGGGCTCTCCCTTAGGGATAGGGTGAGAAGTTCAGATATCCGGGAGGGCCTTAGAGTAGAACCGCTGCTTCTCCACGTCGAAAGGAGCCAGTTGAGGTGGTTTGGACATCTGGTGCAGATGTCTCCTGGGCGGCTACCCGGAGAGGTTTTCCGTGCATGTCCTACAGGGAGGAGGCCCCGGGGCAGACCCAGGAGTCGCTGGAGGGATTATATCTCTCGGCTAGTCTGGGAATGCCTCGGCGTCCTCCCCGAGGAGCTGGTAGAGGTAGCTGGGGAGAGGGAAGTCTGGGTGTCTCTCCTGAAGCTGCTACCCCCGCGACCCGAACCCCGAAAATGCAGCAGATAATGGATGGATGAACAACGACACACAATCTGACATTTCGAGCCAAAAACTCTGTTTTCCATGTCTATATGTCGACGCTGAAAACAGTGTTTCTTAAAATCTTCACCCTGGATGGAGTTTTGCAAAAGCTCTGTTTTCAGTGACCTGAGATGCCATTTACGTGTGGACAAAAGCCCAAGACGTATAGAAAAAGGTATGTTTTAAAATATACCCGTGTACGTGTGGACAAGACATAAGCCTTACCGTTTTCTCCCAGGACTCTTCGAAAACCTCTGGCTGGGGTCCTGCACAAGGCAGCATGGGTCACGTGTTCCACAGCAACAATAACACTGGGCTGCCCGCAGACGTGCCTGTCTGTAAATCGGCGTACTACACTCTATCGGCCGATGCCGATACATTAAATAATTAATTAAATATCGGCCCAATATATCAGTCGACGTCTAGTTTAATTAGCAGAAAACAATCAAACATCAATTAGTTATCATGTGACTGTTAATTTAAATAAAATAATAAAAATAAAACAATTCCAGTAAGAAAAAAACAATAGGGATTGTGCAGCTGAAGCTGTTTGGACCCCTGATAATAGGACCTTTCTGTAAACAATCTCTGACCTTGAAATAGGTATTTCATTTATAGCTCAGCAATGGAATCAATATTTTTCTGCACCACGAATGTAACGTTTTCCTTGGGTTTCACATCTTTGCTGTTTGTGGGTGTATACACAGTGGCCTTGCGCCACTTCTGTTTGGAAAGCATGACTAGCACGCGAGGAGCACAGCACTTCTGATTGGTGAGAATCACTGTCACACAAGCAGGACAGCATGAATTTGCAAAACTGTTCTCATGACCGTTTTAATCCTTGGGTCAGACGTGCTGTAAAATGCACATCCTAAATCGCAGCCTTTGTGATTTGCTAATCACGTTGTTTCAAATAGTGATTTTGATTTGAAATGGATAAATCGTTCAGGCCTAGCCCTTATTGTGTTTTTTTCCTTTTCATTTGTAATACCTTTTAAGGAAAGATTGTAAAAGGTTGAATGCCCTGTCACATGTAGTACAATATATCATATCAGTAACTATTGGAAAAGAGGTTCTTCTTGACTTTGTTCAGAATGTTTTGATATGATTTAAGTTGAGACTGTGATTTGTGAATATCAGTGTTTCTACTACATTTGTTGATACTCTGGATTGAGTGCCTGCTAAGTCAGTTTAGAAATAAAATAGCCATGAGATCATGTATTAGTTCCTCTGAGTTTCCAAAATAAAACCAAAGTGAATAATGTATTTTTCTATACACTTTCTCTAAAGTAAGCATTGAATATGTATAAACTTGATTGAGGTAGTGTGAGTGGTTAGTTAGGTTATTTGCAAATCAGCTACATTATACTTTTTTACCTGTTGCTCATTGCAAGTAAATGAACTGGTGGGAAAGTATGGCCTTTGTGTGTTTTAATGACAGAGCCAATTTCTCATTTCTCAATTGCAAATCAGACTTTTACGAAATTATTTCCTTTGTTCACAGGTTCCTGTGCAACAGCCCATTACCTTCTTGATTGGTGCAGAAGAGACAAAGCACTATCATGAAGCCCGCAAGTGTGTAGAGGAGCTGGCGCTCTACCTTAAACCCCTTAGCAGCACCAGAGGTAATACATAAGCACTATATTGTAATGCAAGAACAATTCTTTATTTATCATGTACGAATCTGCTGAAAGGAATCCATTGCTTCAGCTCTTTCACCACTTTCAGTGTGTTTAAGGTGGTCTGAAACTTTTTGCTAATGTATGAAAAGCTGTTCGGTATCTCATTTGACCTCTGCCCCTTTCCCCTGTCTGTGCTTAGTTGTGACTCTGAGCAGTGTGTCGCAGAGCATGCTTAGCCGGCCCATGCAGCGCAAGCTGGTCACCCTCGTGCACTGCCAGCTCGTCGAGGAGGAGGGTCGTGTCAGGGCCATGAGGGCTGCCCGGTCCCTGGGGGAGCGCACTGTCACTGAGCTCATCCTGCAGCATCAGAACCCTCAGCAGCTCTCCTCTAACCTGTGGGCTGCGGTGCGGGCACGGGGTTGCCAGTTCCTGGGTCCGGGTAAGACAATGGGCGAGTTGTTCTATTCCCTGGCTTTCAGGGAATACATATGGTTTTAACACCGGCCACTGCCACCACACCGACACTTTTTGGTATTTGAGTCAATAATTTGAAAACCATTTGACAGAGTTTTCAAACTCTGCAAAGGCATTGAATAAGTGAAGATCTAAAACCTATAAAATTTTGAGACCAATTGGCCCAAAATTGAAGCAGTGCCACATAGTGATCTCAAAAAAGGCGGTTTTGACACATGATTTCTTTACGATAACTCAAAGTTTTTGATGGATGCGACTAGGGCTGCAACAACTAATCGATTTAATCGATTAAAATCGATTATTAAAATAGTTGCCAACTAATTTAATAATCGATTAGTTGGGTCTACGTTATTATACACATAAGTAGAGTGGCAACCTCCTAATTTGGGAGCAGTAAGCTAACCAAAGCCGCGGTGGCAGTAAAGTACCATTAAGCTGGATGCCGACCGCCATAAAAGAAAAAAGTAAATGCACATA